TCAAACTTTTTTATGGCGCAGCTCTATCTAATATGACGGATATATTATATATCCGCATTAAATTAGAAAGGCGTATGCGCCAAAATTAAAAAAAAATAAAGGAAAATAAAAACGTTTTAAATTTTTATTTAGGTAAATATTTAGAGGTATTTTTAGACACACGTTACTAATACCTATGGATAGGCATATCTAACGTGTTTCTGAAAGAACCAGTAAATATTTGGACTTTAAAACGCTTTTAAAAATCTGAATAAGATTTCCTATAATATCTCCTGTACAAGTGTTTCATTTTGGTGCCCCTCTGAGATTATGTTATTTAGTTTAAAAAAATAAAAATAGGTAGGTGTAAAATTAAAATAATAACACAAGCATTTTTTTTTTTAATTTTTAGTGATCTTTTAACAAGACTAATGCAATAGAGACCCCGCATCATTCACGGAGTATTGCTCTCCTAAAATGAATTAGTCAAAAATGACTAATTGTCATAGTAAAAAAGCAGCCACTATTAATTAAGGAGCATCCGTGCAAAACCGGCTATATCCATTTTAATAAAATGTTGGGAAAATGGCCTTTACATCCCACAAAACTCAAGATGCATTTTTTTTGGGCACAAGATGCATTTTTTATCTTTTATTTTTTTATCTGTAAAATGTATATACCTAGTCGGTTTTGAACGGATGCTCCTCAATTGTAGTCCACAGAAATTTATCTCGAACATTTACAAGTCCTTTCCTTTGTAAAATTGGCCGCTAAATCCGAAGATGTCGTCAAAAGTTTTGAAAGTAGGACAGTTTTTGAGATATAGTCAATTTTCCATTTAATATGGAATTGACTACATCTTAAAAACTGCCCTAATTTTATCATTTTTGAAAATATTTTTGGATTCAGTGGAAAATTTTACATAGGAATTATATGATCAATCCACGGGATACAAATTACTGTGGATTACAGTTGATTTTTCACAATGAAAACTAATTATTTTTGTCTAATTCATTTGGGTCTCTGCAGAGCACACTTTGAGAAACGCTGGTCTAGACCAAAACAAAATTAATGTCTATTGGGGCGTATAGTATAAAAAAATAAGAAAAAACATAAGGGATTATTTCCTGATTGCACAATAAAAAACCTATAAGGAAAATGATAAAAGCATTCATCATGATTTGTAATAATAGGATTTTTCGAAATATATGTTTTTTAAATGTTTAAAAGTTTTACTTCATTTTTTATTTTATAAAGGTTTTTAAGTATATATCTAAAAAACATTATAAGTTTAAAAAAAATATGGAAACAACTTTAACTTTAGGAGTTCTTTGAATAAGCTATTATAAAAGTTAATTTCAAAATAAACAAGTAAGCAAATGTGCACATGAGAATACAAATTTTTGTGAAAGTTTACGAGAAGGGTCGTGATATTTTTTTTAATAATAAAGTCATTTGTTGGTTTCGAAAGACCTTGTAATTGTACCAATTACTATTAGGTATATTAGGAGTAAATATGAATCTAATTATGCAACATCCTAGTTATTAATGGTAATTGTCTCATCGAAAATATCTACATATAAATGTGGGAATTATGCATAAAATAACTACTGAATTTTAAGATTTAAATTGGAATTTGAAAAATTGATTTAAGCTTAATATAATAAATTATTATTAATAATCCATGGTAATTTTGTTTCTTAAAAGTTAAAAAGTTACAAAATTGGTAGCATTTAAACAAAATGTTTTTAATATACTTTTCATTGGAGGCTTCACTAATTGTAATTTAAACTCAGTAATTATTATAATAATGTATTTGAGGATTTTTATCTTTAAGCCTAAGGCTTTCGCCCTCATTTTCTTAAAAGTAAAAACGTTTCTGGGCTTTAAGCCGCGTCTCATAGTAATTCGGATTGACGTTTCGACAGCTGTATTCTTCAATAACTTAAACTAGAAACATGGCTATCAAAACGTCAAATCGAATTACTAAAAAATTTAGTTTTAGTTTTCTGAAGAAGACAGACGTTGTTGTCTTCTTAAAAAAAACTGAAACTAGAAAGAAAATAGCAACATGGCTATCGAAACGTCAAACGTCAAATCGAATTACTAACAAATTTAGTTTCACTTTTCTAAAGAAGACAGCAACATGGCTATAGCCATGTTGCTGTCTTCGATATATCGAAACCTCAAACCGAATAACTACAACAAGCGAGAAAGCAGAGTCTGCTTTCTATAAAAATCATTTACCAGTATATAGTTTACTCGCAAATTTTAAGAAACCCATTATGATATATTTAACTATACTTAAAATGAAAAACTACGAAGGGCTTCAAAATTGGCTATTTATTTAAAATTTTGGATTAGGTAAGTGGAAATAAATCGACCAAGGAATCATGGTCTTTCTACATGCCATGTGCCTGGAAATCGATTCGGAAAAATTATTAAAAATTATTATTACAAAAAATAGACCCATTTTTTATATTCCTAGTCCTAATTATTTGTATATTTCTAGTTATTTTAAAATGTTACAGAATTTATAGAAACAAAAATCTTGCTAATGTTCTTATGCGTAGGTTATAGACTAAGGTTACCAGTATAATATAATGTATTGTATTATACTGCATAGTGTATTATAATAGTAGATTATGTCATCATGAGAAGATTGAATCTTTTTGTGGGATTGAGCGAAGTACAAAATACCTTTTCCAAATAACATATACTATTTTATCTACTCCTACATTAACAAGCTGTGACTTTATGGCGTTTTAGTCACAGGCTGAAGTCAGCTTCATTACTTCTCAACATACTCGTTTTTATTAAACACTCGCTCGCAAGCTTTGCTCGTGTTAAATTAAACTCGTAACTAAAATAGCGTTTATAAAACTTGATACATAATATACTATTATCTTTAAATATAAAATAAAAAACCATTAACTTAATTTGAATGCCAGTCTGTCAATGACAAAATTTGCATTTAATGCTTTCTCCGAAGGCATAAATGAAATAGGGTAAAAAAATGAATTTTTATTCAGAGTTGAGTCTAATACTATTATATTATGTTATATTATATTATTTAACAAGTTTTATAAACGCATTTAAATTGCTCGAGCGTGGCTTGCGAAGCGAGTTTTCAATAAACAAGTTCTTAAAGAAGTTTATAAAATGAATTGCATACCATATATACCAAATATACGACAAAACAAAGTAATGTTTTTCTCAGAATTTAAATCCAATTTTATTTGACATTTTATCTGACATTTGACAACCAGTAAAAAGTGTTATTAACTAATTTTTTCTACTCCCACCTTTAAAACGACCATTATCGTACATGTTTCCATGACACTAAGTGACCTTTTAAATACACATTGACAATTTGTGGCTTTACGGCGTTTTAGTCACGGGATGAAGTTAGCAACAGGTTTTTAGTCACGGGCTGAAGTTAGTTTTAAATTAGTTGACAGTTGGCAAATGTCCTAAAATCGTTAAAATAAAGTGCCTTTCTTGTAAAATAATACTAAATGTGAAAATTATTTTATTATCTCAATACAAAAATACAAAAGTATTAAATATTTTCCCAACGCCAATATTTGAAAAGTTTATACGAACATTGTATTGTACTTTTAATTTCGCCGGCAGTAAACTATAACTTAAATTCGGGCACGGACTACACTGTAAAGTGCTCATAAAACATTTTCTTTACTTTTACTGTAAAAAACTGTTCATTTCAAGAAATACATTTCGATTTATAACCTTTATAATCTGTGTTTATAAAATATAAAAATTTGACATTTGACGGTGACACACAGATTCCCTTATTGTTTCATAGATGGCGCTCTATAAAAATATTTAATTCAATTCAATCATTTTAAGATAATAAAAAGTATTTGTCGTAGAAAAAGTATAGAATGCACCTCGTTTATAAACTTTTCTATACACACATTAATTTAAGAACTCGCGCGCAAGCTCGCTTGTGCCTAAATTAAATTCGTGTATAAAATGGCCTTTATCATAACTTGATTTTATTATTTTTTATATATTTTATATTTTATTATATTATATTTTTTTTGTATAATCAGGAGAAAGTGATTAACGTCCCTAGCACTTTCTGGGCAAGAGATTTGTCAAACATGAAATTTACAACCAAGCACACTTGTGACAGTCGAATTAGCGTTTTTTACATATTTGGTAATATCTTTCTAAATATTCTTTTTAGCTAATGGTTGTTACAACATATTAATAGAGTATATTTCCCGTCGAGTGGTCGTTCCATTTTAAATAATAAATATATTGCCATTTAGAATGTCAAAAATACGGAAATACCAAACACCCTGTCTAACATTTTGGAATACTATTAATGGCTTCTTATAGAATACTCATTTTTTTAAGGTGTATACCAAGAATTAACTTTTCAACATTACAATTGTTGATAATACAGACATTTTAGATAGTTACTCTATCTGTCAATTTTTTCTTAATTAAATATCTCAAAAACAATTGAAGAAAGAAAAACGATTCCAAATGAAATAAATACAAAATTTTATTGCATAGTAAATATTTTAGAAAAATAAATCACATCGCGCTATAGCTGCAATAAAAATTTCAGATTGATATCTTTTAGTTTTCTATAAATCTTTAATGAATCAGTTAGGTGAATCACCCTGTATATTAACTTAAATTTTTATAAAAAGTATGTTATAACATATAAATATAAAACATATTTATTTGGGACCAAAACGAAACCATTTTTTAAAAACTAAACGGTTCATTACTGCATAAATAAAGAATAAAAAAAAATTAAACTCTTAAATTCGAATCTACTCATAAAATTTTAATAATAGATATTGACAATTCTGAATATTCTTAATTATGATATTAAGGTTTTCCACATATACAACCCCAAAAATAAAAATAGACCTTGTTTATAAGTAAGGCAAATAAATACCTATGTTTTGCACATGTGGGTGTTTATTTAGATATTCATTTTAGGATTAAATTAACTTGAGCCCCTGAAAATAACTTACTTGAAAAAATAAGCAGAAACAAACCCACTGATAATACTTGTAGAGTTTCTTGTCCTTTTCGTTTACGGTGGTTTTAATTCCAGGGTAACCAAACAAAGGATATGGCAAGTTTGGTGGATGCGTCTGGGTGAGTGTAAAAGTGGAATGGATCCAGCAGAAGGTATTTAGAACATCTTCTGGAATATCTTTGGTGTGGATGCAGTCTATAGGGTTTCCAACGTATTGTCTTGTGGTTACGATTAAACTAAATGCAATAAGTATCAGAACCGTAATTGAATAGTGTAATCTAAACACCGGAGAATCGATGTGTATATGACTGACTCTAATGAGCGATTTTAATCCGCGAAATATATCTAACATCTTATGATTAACACTCTTTAAGTAATAACGAAATATCCAATATTCTATAAAATGTTGTCGTTCGATGTATTACAGGAAATTAAGTTGGTCATAATTTTATTTTTGTCATCACAGTAATTTACTATTTTGAGCTACACTTTTAGACATTCCGAAAAATGTTGCATTGTTTATTCGTATAAAAGGACCTATTGCTAGTATCATCACTGTTTGATTCATTACACGGGAAAAGAGTTGACACTGGCATCTACACAATATAGCCCGCTGATCGTTTTAGTAGGACGCCATACAAGCGTCAAGACGCTTATTTTAACACTAAATTTCTCAACAGCCTAGCTGGCCATGTGCTCTCTTTCGAAGCGGGCCATGCGATTTTCGATCTTACAACCAATATTAATAGGAAACGATATATTACCTAGCCTTTACACTATCAGAGACGCACAAAGGCGTCGGTGGTTTCTATTTTCACAGTCGCCAGTGAGATGTAACAATCATAGGGAACCGGCTGCATTAAGAATGTATTTTTAACCAAAAATTAACTCCAGCACTTTCGTTAAAATTTATGGAGAACGCCTTAAAAATAATAATATAAACAGTTTTATTCATGGCTTTTCATGATTTTCTAAAATAAATATTATGTAAATGTAAAAAACTTCTACTTAATAAATTAGTAGGTACCTACTCGTAATTATTTACCCTTTAAAAATATCTTCTCATTTCAAGGGTTGACAATTCGAACAAATAGTTTAACTAACAAAATAATAGTTATTTAAGTCATAAGTAAGGCCCGGATTTTTAGGTCATAAAAAAGTGATAAAAGGTTCCTAAATTAGGTGATATTTTTAATAAAAAAGGTTATTATTTTAGGTACATATATTTTAGGTACTTAATTAAAAAGTTAATATTGGTTGGCCCGTATTTTTAGGTTATAAAAAAGTAAAACAAAATGCAAAAAATAGGTCACATAGTTATAAAATTAGGTTATTATTTTAGGTGCCTACATTTTAGGTACTTAAATAAAAAAATGAAATAAGCTGATTTATTGAAATAAAATGTTTTCATTATAATGTCGATATCGTTGTAAAACCATACATAGGTCTTATGTAGTTTTAGTTACATTATAATTGCTCTGTTAATGTCCGGCAATAAAGGATTTAAATTAAAAATGAAATATATTTTTATAAATAGTTATTAAAATAATATTTATTATTAACATTAACTGAACAAAAATGTTTGGTTGGAAAAATAACAAATAAAATAAAAGATTCTTTAAAAAAGTAAATATATCATATCAAAAATAATGTAAAATAGCAAAAAAACATAATAGGAACTCTAAAATCAAAAAAAAAATTTATTAATTTATTTAACGATTATATGCATGACAGAATATTTCTCCAAGTTTTCAGAAGTAAAGCTAGTGCGTTTATCAGTCAAAACATTTTTAAACCAAGAGAATGATCGTTCAACGTCACAGGACGGGTAAAAAAAGTGCATTTTAGGTATTAAAAATACAATTTAGGTGCAAAAAAGGAAAATAGGTGAAAAAAATATAAAAAAGGTATTTTAGGTCAAATAAAACTTAGTCAGATGACTCCATTTTTTATAAAACGGGCAAATACAAAAAAATATCTTTAAAACCTATAAAACCAACAAAAGGTGTTTTACCTAAAATCCGGGCCTTAGTCATAAGCCTGAGAATTACCTAAGTCTTTTTGTGCCGAGCTTGAGGTTTGAATTCCAACGCTTTAGCGGAGGCCTACAATTGAGCGAAGCACAAAAAGATACGTCTCAGCCGAATGGCATACAACATTTTATCTTAAAGGTACAGTTTTATTTGGTAAACGATATATAAAACGTACTTACAATTAAAATAACAATAATTACACTGTAGGTAGGTAAATTTTTAACTTTTGAAATATCACAGCTAAACGCTTGGACACGTAAACATAATTTTTGGTCGTAGATTCCAAATCCGTGCTCGGTTTAGCTGTATCAGGTCTAAAAAAGTTGTTCCTATTGGAAATCCGATCCGGGGACACACTGTATACTGGTATATTATAATTTGTAAAATAATATAATTCACCTCTTGTGCCAACAGTTGAGTGCTGGTGGCAACAAAAATACGAGTCGAAGACGAGAATTTTTGCACCTGCACGAATGCATTTTGTTAAAAAATATTACTTGGCATTGTGTTTTTTCACAGGAAAAATTAGATGCCCGAATGGTATTTGACAAGACTATTTCATTCATGAGTAACAGTTTATTCGGCATACACATAGCTTACAAAACATACTACCTATTATACATGCAAACATAGTAAATATGTAGGTATTAATTTGAAAACTGAAAAATAGGTAATTTATTTAATCACAAAACACTACAAACTTAATTATTTATGGTACAATTAAAATAAAAATTGCAATTTTGATGACAACAGCTGTCAAGTATTGCCGCGGGCACGGTCTTATATACAGGTCTTGCAACTTCGCCCAATTTCAATAGGAAAAGTGACCTCTCTAATGAGACACCCACCAGATGGCGCATCGAGTTGGATGGATAAACCATAGATGTTTAAAGGTCGTTTTTACCTTCTTTATCTTTGGGTTTTACAATCGTTAGATAAGCTCTCTGGTGGATAATTTTCTTAGATAGAAGGTTTCTATGAAAGTTATCCGCCAAATAAGCTAACTTAATCTAACGATTGTAAAACCGGCTCTAACCCACTGAGCAAAAAAACCTAAAATATATGTAAATTTAACGTCAAAGGTTGTAGTGTGACGTATAAGATTCTTGTAAAATAAACGTCACATAAACGTCGCTGTGATGTGCCTATGTCCGGATCCTGGGCCGTGAATTAGCCCTAACCGTTACGTGGATAAGAAGACGTTTTTAAAAGGACGTAAAAATGTCCTTTTAATATGGACGTATAGGTTTTGTTTCAACTTGTACATATTAGTTACGTTTTTTTAATAAAACTACCACTTTGGAAATATATTTTTTTTATTAAAATAAATTATAAAAATTAAACATTATTATTCTGGTAAAAATAATAAATAAAATAATAAAAATAAAACATACCGCCTAATTCATTTTCGGCCTCATTCTCATGTCCAAATTTGGCCAAAAAACGTTATGAGCGTTACTTGGCGGTTTGGAATAACTCCTTGCTCTCTTTATCGAAATCACTTTCAGTCAGACGAAATAATTTCATACTGGCTTCTAAAACAAACATTAATAACTTAAGTTATCTAAGTAATTAAGTATATAAAACTTATAACTTGCCTGTCGCTCTGCGCAAAATTTGTCTCCCATGTTCACTGGTGTATTAACTGAAAAATCAAATTGATTAAAAGACTTTTCTTTAAGTCTAACAGCATTGATTAATATTACTTCTCACTCAACGCTAACATTTAAATCAACAAAATTCGATAACCACTAATAGCGCCATCATGGCGATATTGGGACAATTAATTAATTATATTATAACCGCGTATGGTTGCAAACAAATGATAAAGCCAACTTACCTAAACCGTTCAGTCTCGCCTATGGAGAACAATGCGTTTTCTATCACACAGCACAAATGGCAACACAATGTGTTGAACACAGAACAATGGCAGTCGCAACGCAAACAGAGTATGCCCTGTTACAGGGCCCCTTTTATACCGATATATCGACTGGAAACGAAATTACCCGAGTCCTTTTTTACGTAAATTTTACATAAAATATACGTTTCTTAATCTCACTATGCGATAATAATAGAATAATTATTATTTTATAAGCGGTAATATTAATTAATAAATCACTCTGGGATTTATAATAAGTCATTAAAATAATTATTGTACCTACTTACATTGGTTTCTAAGTAAGTATCTACCTTCGGTTTAATCTAAAATTATGAATTAAATTCGGTATTTAATTATACAAATATAGGTACACTCAAATTTCCAACAAAAATGTAAATGTGGCATATTTTGTGGCGTATTTGTGTTCATCATTGGCAAACCTATCCCATTCATATTTATCATGTGTCACATTGGTGACGTAAAATGTACGTTGTGTTTTGCACCTAATATGCTAAAGTAAAATAAAAGGCGTAATACGCCTGGCGTATACGCCTATAGATTGGACGGTATAGTGACGTGCTCGACAGCACCTTTTATTTTTTAGCGTAATTTTTACGTAAATTGAATCACTAAAAAACGTAGTTAATGTGCCTTAAAATTGACAATTTTTAAACGTCACTGTGACATCACCACATTCATAATGTTCAGTGGGAAGTCCTTAAAGTATATGGGATAAAAGGTCAAATGAACTACCTACTTATGTTCTGTGAAGAAACATAACCTACATTTTTATAAACAAGCTTGTGTATTTTGTTACAGGGAGTTTTTACTTATTGTTATTGTGATATTCGTTATTGTTATATTATATTGTTCTATTTTTTCTTGTTATATTTGTTCTTGTTATACATTTGTATTTGTGCTTTTTAATAGACATGAAGTCCTGTGTTGTGCCAAAATGTAACCAGCAAAGCTATCGTTCCGGCATTAAAATTAAGCGGTCCATGTTTAAAGTGCCAACAAATAAGGAGCGGTTAAAAACATGGCAATGTGCAATAAAAAACATATTATTGACACCTTCACATTTTGTATGATTATTATATAATTAAGCACATGGTGTTGGTGAAATATATATTATTTTAAATAAACAATCAACCCATCCCCGCCAAGACAATAAAAAAATCGGTTATTAATAAATTAGCCAGAATATTGGTTGGTTAGTTTTTAAACTATCTAAAGCTTGGCTATGTTGTGTTACTAGAAATTTTGGTTTTCATATTAGCCAAATTGAATTGGATAGTTTACAAATTATCCAGCTATTCCTAAATAATTTCAAGTAAATTAGCCAAGACCCTTGGTTGGTTTACAAACTAGCCGCTAATTTAGTTAAAAATACGTTTTCAATTAAAATAGCTGACAGTTTGGCTAGTTTATAAACTACCCAGCTACTTTATAAACTATCCATGTTTACACATTAGCCGTAACATATATATGATATACGTATGTATTTTATACATTAACATGTTTTACTTACATGTTTGGTCTGGGCATGTGACGGCCGAGGACTTTGTGCATAGAGTATAGACTTTGTTGTCCTATTTTGTTAACGTAAATTATCCGAAACAAACTCACAAATATTAAATTTTTGAAAATGTAAACAAAACATAGAAAAAGAATTTAAAAAGTTTGGTTATGGTTATGCAGTAGTTCCACATTTAACTAAGTAGTAGTTTAATTGAC